TTATTATTGTGTTCTGTAAGCCTATACACTGGTATTGATTTTACAGAATTCTGTGGTTCTTTGCGACCACAAAGAGCAACAGCAGTTACCTGGTGCATTTCCTGTGCAGTCTGGGTCACTTCCTGCCAATTAACTGTGTGATGCTAAACTGATGGAGGTAAATGTAAATGTTTGTAAAGTACATTTTGTAGGAGCCACTATAAATTAGATTGGAGTTGTGTTAAAATAACAGCATTCCGTTTGGTCTTAATCTAAATCACATTAGCTCATAACTTTTCTCCATACTGAGGTTATTTCAAAGAGCTGTCTACAACAGATAAGATACTGATTGTCCATAAACTTCCCACAGAACCCCCGTCCAAAATATTCAACTATTTTTTAAAGTCAGTTTGGTAAACAAATTGAACAAACTTGAATTTAACAATAGTGTCTCAGCTCCATTAGTGCCCTTTTTTATTTCTTGCTATTTTATKCCCTTAACAGCTGTTTCTATAATTTTCTATACATGTATGTTGTCAATTTTGTGTTATATTTGTTTGTGACTGAACACTTTCTTCTTCTTCAGGTGCATTATCAGATCGGAGTATGCACCAGATGCTAAAATTCTATTTTATTGTTTTTAAATTACCTGTTCATCTTAAGAACCAAAAAAATGRTGGTAAAATTGTATCCCCATCTTTGAAGCAATTCACTTATTACTAACTTACTTTTATTTTTATTTAAATTTCTAATTAATATCTCTCTTTCATGTGCATATATATACTAATCAGTTTGTCTTAAAGGCACATTTCTTCTTTAGAGTCCCTGGTCACACAGCACACCTGGATAGTTGGACAAAATTACTTGAGCTGCTGCAGACAGATTAAAAAAAGAACCTAACTGCTGCTTTATTCTCACAAATCAAAATTCAAAGTGAAACATTTGTGGTATTTATTGTTTTTCACAATACCAGTGAACAAATGTGACAAAYTCTAGTTTCCATGCCTTTTTTTCCTGTTTAACAGCTCTCTTTGTTCTCCAGTGACCAGCAGACACCAATCAAGTTTAATTAAACTGCCCAGCTGTTTTCAGTTAAGCATRGGGAGGCCTATAAAGAGAGTCTGAACTGACTGGGCAGGTCTGTGTGATGAAGAAAAATTAGATAAAGTGAATTAATTGTAAGTGAACTTGACTGTTTCCTGGTAAATCTGTTGAACAACCATGCCAAAGCAGAAGACTCATGTTAATGTGGTCATCATCGGCCATGTTGACAGTGGGAAGTCCACCACCACTGGCCACCTGGTCTACAAGTGTGGTGGCATTGATCAGAGGAAGCTGGAGAAGTTTGAGAAGGCTGCTTCTCAGGTCAGGAGAGGAATGTTTTTTTGTTTGGTTTTAAAGGAATGTGAAACTAATTTATCTATTTTTTTTTCTTTAGATGGGGAAGAGTTCCTTCAAGTTTGCCTGGCTGCTGGACAAGCTGAAGGCCGAGCGAGAACGAGGGATCACCATCGATATTTCCCTGCTGAAATTTAGCACCCAGAAATACAGCATGACCGTCATTGATGCGCCGGGCCATCGTGATTTTATCAAAAACATGATAACTGGAACATCTCAGGTAATAAAATAAATTTAAAAATCAGCTCTCGTGAAGGTAACGGCTGCAGACTGTATGTTGTGTTTCAGGCCGATGTTGCCCTTCTGGTGGTTTCTGCGGCGAAAGGCGAATATGAAGCAGGTGTGTCCAGAAGTGGTCAGACCAGAGAGCATGCCTTACTGGCCTACACGCTGGGCGTCAAGCAGATGATAGTCTGTGTGAACAAGATGGACTTGACTGAACCGCCGTACAGCCAGAATCGCTACGACGAAGTGGTGCGAGGTGTCAAAGTCTTCCTAAAGAAGATCGGCTATGACATCACAACTATACCAGTTGTTCCKATTTCTGGCTGGACTGGAGAGAATATGATCACCCCAACTCAAAAGGTAATGATGCTCCTGACCTAAAAGGATCAAACACTGCAGTGGAATATAATTTTTGTGTGTGCAGATGCCGTGGTACCAAGGTTTTAAAGTGCGACAAAGGGATGGGACGGCAAGTGGGAAGACTCTGCTGGAAGTCCTGGATTCAATTCAGCCACCTGTGCGCACCATTAACAAACCCCTCCGGCTGCCTCTGCAGGATGTGTACAAAATTAGAGGTAAGGACTGGTAAGGGTAGAATTTGTTTAAACCCAGTGCCTGAACTTGTGGCTCCCTGTTTCAGGAGTTGGGACTGTGCCGGTGGGTAAGATTGAAACTGGCMTCCTCAAACCTGGGATGACCCTGATGTTCTCCCCTGCCAAGCTCACTGCAGAAGTGAAATCCATTGAGATGCACCACCAGGGTCTGGACACTGCTCTGCCAGGGCACAATGTTGGCTTCAACATTAAGACCGTGTCCAAGAACCTGCGGCGAGGAGACGTGGCTGGTAATGCTCAGCAGGACCCTCCCTCAGATGTCCGCAGCTTTGAAGCTCAGGTTTGTATGAAGCTTTTTTTTTTTCCCACGTGAAACCACGCCACGAGCCCAACGCTGATCCTCTTTAGGTGATCATCCTGAACCATCCAGGGAAGATTAAAACGGGCTACTCCCCGGTGCTGGACTGCCACACTGCCCACGTCACATGCCGCTTCGCAGAGCTGAAGGAGAAGCTTGACCGCCGCACAGGCAAGAAGCTGGAGGACCACCCACAGATCCTGATGTCTGGAGATGCTGCCACAGTCAAACTGGTTCCTGTGAAGCCCATGTGTGTGGAGAGCTTCTTCCATTACCCTCCTTTAGGTAAAAAGTTTCTTACTGCAACATTTTTAAAGTGTACCAGTTTTAAATCATTCTTCGTTGTTCACAGGTCGCTTTGCAGCACGAGACCTAAAGCAAACGGTTGCAGTGGGAGTCATAAAGTCTGTGGAGAAGGACCACGGGTCAAAAGTGTCGCACAAAACCCAAGGCTCTAAATAAAACAAGTTAAAATGTAATTATGGGAAAGCTTTGTGTTCAGTTTGATTTTGAAATGTAAAATCTTGTGTTTTAATAGAAGGTTTTGGTTTAGTTCAAATGCAGCAACAAATGTTTGAATGCAAGGCTTGTAACTTTACTTTTTTTAATAAAGTGTTGTAAAACTGAGTCTTTGTTTAAACTACATCAATGCAATGACATTTGAAGATTAAGTACTTAAGTGTATAAAATTTAAAGTTTGACTATTAAAATTAATTCACAAGATTATTTAGCAGCTGTTATAAAAAACAAGGTTAACACTAGTACTTAAAAACTAGCATTAAGTGTTCAGTAACATGACACCCTTTAAAATGTCCTGTAAACCTATGAAGATTAAAGCTGCCTAAAATGGGTTTTACATTAAGACAAGTTTATGGCAGTGCCCTTTAAAATGCAACACAGTTTAAGGCTAAGATTTGTATTGATAGATTCTCATCTAGTCTTCTGAGGTTTCATTGGAATTCAGATGTYCAAATTGCATCCTTTAAAGGAGATGCATGCTTTAAAATTTAACATTTACATTTCTTTGCTCTGAATCTGTAACTTCACAAGCCCCTCTAAGGTCTCAGGKCAACTCATTTTGATGCTCTTATAAATACAAACAAGGTGCTTCATTCCTCATCCCATATTAAATTCTAGTTGAGTCCAGATCTTTATTTGGCAGTTCTATTTGGCATGGTTGAAAATTGACCCAAACAGAATCTAGATATCTTTGCATCAGATTAAATTCATATTCTGCAATCCTAGACTCAATACAAAACAATGCATTAAAAGTGGATTCTGCATGTGTCCCTTTTACAATTCCAACTTCCTGAATTATCAATGTTCAAGATTAAAGCTCAAAGTTTTTCATTAAGACTCCAAATTAAATTTTAGCAATYCCCTTTAAAAGTACAATAAGGCTAAGATTTATCAAAACAATTTTCTCCTCCAGCGCTTTAAATTCCAACAAGACTTTATAGGAATTTAACCAAACCACAAAAATAAATGAAAAAACAGGGTCAGTTTTAAGTACAGCACTTTTAATTGATACAATGGGTTGATGGGTTTGTTCCTTTTTAATATGGGAAGAACTGCAAGTCTGTGAGGACTGGGTGAAAATGCATCGTCTCAAATCTTCATTTAAGAGACATTTCTGGTTTTACAGGCAGCCTGGAAATGTACTGAGTCCAGTAACATGGAATGATAATACATGATTCAAACTAAACCCAAAATTAGAAAAACAAAACAAAAAAATTCAAGCTCATGAGGTTTTACAAGACACTGAACCGTGAACACAGGTCGTGAAACTCCTAGCCTGTGTGAAAATCAAGTTATTGCTAAGATGTCCTTCAGATTCCCATACTAGTGGCTTAAACAACAGGATACGTTTTGTGTAGTCCTGCTAAATTTCAATAGTGGCTCTTCAAACCCTGAGGCGTTTGAACGCAGCACTCCACTCATTTCCAGTTGTTACACCATGCACAGAACAATAATAATAATAAAAAAAAGGTCAAAAGGACTGAGATGGCGTCGCGTTCACACACACAGAGCACACGTACAGTGAACAGTGTAACAAGGAGTAAATTAGTGACCTACAGTGAACCACAGGCTTTGATATTCCACCACACAGTAGCAGCAGGTTTCTGTACGGTAAAACAACCAGAATACGTGTWACACACACAAAAAAAAGCAAGCAAGAACGAGGAGTACATTTAATGAAAACTCTTCATCTCGGGAAGATCAGTGGGGAGACTCCTGCCTCTTTCAGTCAACTATGGTGGTAAACAGGGATGCAAGACAAATAATGACATAATGACCTATTTCACATTCCATTTCATATTTGTCTTTTTTCTTCTTGTTCCAGAAATATAAGCTGATAATTACTCAAGGGCCAGTAAATTAATACAGATAAAATTCAGACTCTACTAACCTGATGCTTAATCTGACAGGCAGAGAGCAACAGTACATGTTTTGTACAATAAAACATGTATWTACACTCACACACAAATATATATATTTACATACATATATACACAGGAACAGCATAAACATAGACTTTCAGGTAAGTGCTAGGGTTTTTGAGAGTGGCTTTGTCTCAGCCATGCTATAGGGTTAAGATAATACTGGTAGAGGAAGAATACACACATTCTTTGTACAGCGTGGATGTGGCATCCAGGTCTAGATAAGCCTTCTTGGGTTTTTCTTCATCGTTGATTTTTTTTCTTCATATTTTTTTTCACCTGTCGTGTGACCAGGGGTGTTACCATTTGATAGGTATTTACATGAACTCTCGGTTTAGAGAGAGGTGTAGTGCAAGTCTGTCTGGCTGTCAGTCACTTAAGATGTGCACAAAAGACATGGGGAACACCCCTTTCCTGTCCGGATCTCCTTCAATGTGTCCAATCTAGAATGGATAAAACACGAGGGTGGGGGGACATTAGTAAGTAAAAAGGTCAGGTTGTGGTGGATGATTATACTGTAAGAGGTCCGAACAAAACGACAGAACTCACCCACCACTCCTGGTCCTCCTCTCCTGTAACAATAATCACCTCTCCTTCGACAAACGTCAGCTCGTCYTCGTTGTCGGCCTGGCAGTCGTAGATCGTTTTCACCCGACGGACTTTATTCTTCCCCTGGACACACAAAATCAAGGTCTTCCTTTATATTAATACAAAACTGTATTTTAGACTATGTAATAATGAAAATATTTTCTTGTGACCACCAGGTTCAGTCATAACAGCTTACATGGACGGCTGGTATAAGTGGGCTAGAGGGGCTAAACCCGCCTTGTGTTTACAAAAAAAAATGTTAAAACACCTAATAAACACAAATTAAAAATATTGCATCACARGTTGTTAAATTTAGAACAAAACTGGTGCCAAACATTCTTGACAAAATCCCAAAGTCTTTCCATAGGACATACTTTCTTTAGCCCTTTTCATTCAATGTCTTTCATGGTACAGGATGATTGACAGACATCTTGTCCCGCCCCCTCAGTTTGCTGCTCATCAGGGTTAATTTTGTTCAGGGTCAGCCTAAAACCACGGGCTTTAGCCAATGAGGGCGGACGTACATTATCGTGCCTTAAGCATGAGTGRATGTGGGTGTGGTTTGGCATAGCCTGAGCAGGTACGATGGGGAGCAAGAGTACTTTAAAAGGTGGATTATTTAATTTATCACCCACTTTTCTTAGTGTCTTTGGAGGAAAAACTGGAAGTGAAGAGGTTGAGGGCGAACAGATGAAAGGATATTTAAAGGGGACCTAATATGGGGGCCCTAGAACAAGTTAGGATCCATCAAAATAAATAAAATGTAGCCACATCTCTMTTCTCCATGACTGTTRTAAAACAGCAGAASTGTCCTGTGAAGAAGTGGGCGGAGTCTATCAGGGGTGGGCTGGAGTGCGACTTGTGACATCACAAGCAGCAGTGTTTGAAAGCAGGTCATTTCAAGACACAGAAAAATACATTTACTTATAGTAAAAATACCTCTGAGTGCCTTTTTTGGGTGCTTGGACTGTTTTTAGAAGCAGTCCAGACCCAAATGTAAGTAAAAAAAAAACTGAAAAAAGTGAATTTTGCATATTTGGTCCCCTTTAAATCCAGCAAAAGAAAAAAGTGGAGAAACTTAAGTTTTTCTGTGACCTGGTTTCAGCAAAACGACTGGCTAACAGCAAGTGTAGCTAAAATCCTTTTCTATGTTTGATGTTTGAAAACATTTAAACGCTTCTGTTGTTGAAATCCAATCTGCAAAGTTTTATTATGTGTCTATACTTTTAAATATCTGTTAGCCCACCCTGCATACATCACCAGCCTTCACTGACAGTTTAAACAAAGTTATAATTCAGKCACTATAAAGAAAGTAGGTGTAAAYTCTTGTGTCTGAAGAACCTTTCTGTATGCAGTAGTTTATTAAAAACCTCTACAGTCACAAAGAGACAGAACTGGTAGATCCTTACTGTGTTAATCTTTCTTGGTAGMGGCACTGGAGTCTCAGCGGTCCCCGGCGGGGTCCCGTTGGTGTCCTCGGCCGGTTGCTGTGTAGTTGGAGTTCCTATAATTGCCGGTTGATTGGGAGACGGCGAGTCTTGAGGCGGAGGCTGCGTGTGAGTCTGAGGCGGGGGCGGAGGTTGCGTTTGTGGCCTCTGAGCTGAATCTCCTGGGGGTGGCCTGGGGGAAGACTCCGCTGTTCCTGGTTTGGGGGGGATGTCGGCAAGATGAGGTTTTGGAGGGAGATCTTTGAGCTGCGGTTTTGGTGGAAGGTCTCCCAGCTGGGGTTTAGGAGGGAGGTCGGASAGCAGCGGCTTCGGAGGGAGCTCTCCGGGTTTCGGGGGGAGTTCGGACACCTGTGGRTTGGGGGGCAGATCGCCCAGCTGAGGCCTCTCTGCCGGAGGGGTCTTGTGAGTGGTTTCAGTTGCTGGGGGGGACTTCTGGAAGACCTCCGGAGGAAGGCTGGGTTTATCCACAGACGGATGGTGAATGGTGTCAATCTTGCGCAGCGCCACTGAAGAGACAACCACACAATCCCATAAAAACATGTAAAAACTTCATTTACACATATAAATGCCACTAAAACCATACCTTTCTGAGGTAGTTTGGGAAGAACTCTTGGACCAAGTGTAGACTTTGTGTTGCTTGAAGTAGTGCTGGAACATTTTTAGACTTTGTACTTAACAAAAACAGCAAAAACCCAACTCTTCTCYCAAATAAAYCTTTGAACAACCTGCCTGTTGTTACCTTTGCTGCTGAGGAATGCCTTCGAACTTGTTGGAAACCGGAGACATCTTAGTGACCGGAGGAGGGGTGGAGTCGCTTCCTAAAATATTAACATCGGGGACAACAAACTTAGCACCACGGCAGAGGGCTGAGAGAAGAAATAATTTGGTATAAATGTGAAAATAAATCAACATGCTGTGGATGGTTAAATCAAACAATGAGGGAAACGTCGTCTGGCTGAGCTCTCTACGAACTCGTCGTGTTTACCGTCGTATCTAAAGTGCTGCTATTTTTTTACTCTGTGTTTGGATGTTGATGTGGGTGAGACACAAGACGATAGATGATTAAAAAAAAAACAATAAAAATACAAACCTGCAAGTAAACTGAATCATTTAAGATTGTTTATATAATYTTCTAACTGACCAAGAATGTAAATAATGTTGGTAATGATATTGATTTGTTTTATTATGAGCATGTTTATGTGATAAACCACCTCTAAAAGAAGTTAAGTGAAATATTTTAGCCTTTTTCTGCTCACCTAAGTGCAAAAAAATGTTTTTTTAAAAAGGAGGGGGGGGACTGATTAGTTATTTTAAAGAATTTTCTGGTTATCAAGATTTTAAAAAATATTTACTATATTATTATTACTGCCTAACATTAATAAAATTACTAAGATTTTACGGTATGTGGTGACAAATWATTTAAATTATCACTACATGCTTGCTTATATATTTCAGAAAAACAGACAAATCTTCAAAAAAAGACACAAAAGGGAACAAAAATTGGTTAAATCTGGAAGGGCTTTAAACGGAGCTGTCACATAAATATCAGAATATAAAACTAGCTTCAGCTCTGCTGGGTTGATTTTCCTTTAAAGCTAATTTAAATCAAGTTTTTCTCGTCTTTAGATAATCCTGATTCTCTATCATTGAGTTGGAGCCCGTCTGCTTATGTGTGCTTGTTATCTCACCCCCGATTAAGCCCCCTTTACTGTGCGGGCTGTGAGAGAGCGTGCTGGGTGGGTCGGACAGGGTGCGTTTGTGTCCAGGAGGTGGGGGCGGAGGTCTCTTCTTGGACAGGGTGGAGCTGACTCCTGGTGTGAGTGTGGAGGGAGGGCCGGATGGGGGAGGAGGAGCTGGAGGAGTGATACATAAGACACATGAGGCGATGAGGTCAAACCCCGCCACGCCCACAAGACAAATGTAGAAATAAACAAAAATATTAACAAAAAAACAGATAAATTAAAGAAGRGGAACGCCAAAACAAACACCTAAACACAAAATGACTTGGGATGTAGGTGTGTTTCTGGGGTTTCTTTTTCCTGCCTGAATCTATGGAGACCCTAAAGCTGGTCACTGATGTAGAGGAAAGTAGGATGAAAGCAGCAACTAGAGAGCTCAGCCAGAGAGGAATCAGCTGTGMTTAGGAGTTTACAGCTCAACGGTGGCAGAAAATTATTCAGAGAAGTTTAAAAATCATGTAGGAAAGAAGGAATTAACAACGATCCTACATGCTCCAATTAAAAAAAGGAATAGTTCAGATCTTCTAAAGCTGGCTTTAGTGGAAAAGTTATAAACAGATAATGTACCATTTGAATTAACTCTGTTAAGACTGACTGGACTGATGAGCTACTAGTTAGTTTTTAGACTAAATTGGATCTTTCTCATCTTAATAAAAATAAAATCTCAAAATATGACAGTGGTTCATTCAAATGTTATATTTTATAAACCTTTAAATTGATTARTCCAAAAGAAATATTATGATATTTTTACAGGAAGTGTTGCTACTGCTAATACTGCTGTAATTGGTGCTGGCAAATAACCAATCAATTCATATTCATGCAATGAAAAATTGATGGAAATGTAAAAAAATCATGAAATAGTTTTTCCATAAACCTGTCCGCTAAATAAATCAGTCCGCTCAGAATTACCTCCAAACGAAGTTCAAAGAGCTATCCACAACAGGTAAGATATTAGTTGTTCATATCTTTTCCACACTTCAAAACATCTGAAGTACAACCTTCAAGTTAAAAATATTGCTGTGACCTCGTACACCAGAGCTGTAAAGGGTGAAAACAACTGAGGGATTAAAKAAAAGGGGGAGAACGAAAAACAAGATATTCACTGATGTATGGTCGAGTGCCAGCCAGAGTGGCGTAGTGCGAATGAGAGCCAAGGAATGCCAAGTGTGGAGCTGAAAGAATAGAAAATACAAAACAAAAACAAAAACAAAAAAGAAGAAAAAGAAAAGAGAAAGAAAACAGAGCGGAGATGAGGAGTGTGGGAGAGAATCTTCCAATCAAGTCGGTCTTATAAAGAGCTGCTCCCACACACTGGAAAATAAAGATGAAATCTTATCAGTGACAAAGAAATAAAGAAAAAAAAAAAAGAGGAGAAACGGTGTAAAGAGAGCGAGCGTGTCATTTAAAATGCATGGATGTCATCCTCTCATTCAGGAAAAATCTATTTAAATAACCAGAAATGTACCCACAATAAACTACGGTAACTATTGGTATTTTTTTCAGCATCTACAATCAAAAGTAAAAAAAATAAATAAATAAAAATAAAAAACTCTGAAGCTTTGTGTTTTTGTAGGTCAGAAACTAAATTTAGACTGACTTTCCAGGGTTACAGCCGTCCTGTAAACCTCTCTGTGCACAGAAACATCAMACAGGGTTATACTGAGAACCAGAATTTATCTTTAACCTCCAAGATAAGATGCTTCATTTCTACACTGTTTTTGTTCTACTTCTTAAAAAAACAAATTCAAAGCTGAAACATTCACACCCAAAGACCTGTTGCTGTTAGAAAATGCAGACTTGTGTGAAGAAGAGGAATCTACTGTTTAGTCAAAAGCAACATCAGGTTTTAAGGTGAAATGCACGACTCGTGCAGCGCTTCAAACCCAGRATCTGCACCTAAACGCATTGATAAAAGTCAGATATTTAATGCACTGTTCGTTAAAAACAAGTTCAGTTTTGTAGCCCAAACTACAGAAATGAACCTTTGCTGTTGAAATAAGGGATTACACGTTGTTAGGATGGATGTTGCAATGTTATCTTCTGCAGCCTTCTCAGTCTTGGGATGTTTGTTGAATGGTTAAGATTGTGACAGCTCAGCAGAGGCCGGATTGTTATTTTTAATTGCAATCCTGCAGAGACAGCACGCCCACGGTCATTTGTGTGTGTGTGTGTGTGTGTGTGTGTGTGTGTGTGTGTGTGTGTGTGTGTGTGTG